GGCATTTAAACTATGTGGGTCTCTAACTATATTCCCATAACAGTATTTCGATGTCTTGTTCATAAGCTGCAGTTTTAGTGTTGATATCTAAGATGCTCATAACGTGGAAAACGTTTAATATTTGACCATCAAAGTTTCTATATAGCAGAAGTTCCAAAACGTCGGCAATTGTGTAACTTAAGCTGGTTTCTTTGGACCCCGAATCCACTTAAATTATACATATAACAATACGAGTAATTAAAAGACTAATATCCTGTATATTGTTTATTTTTTCACATCCCACGTCATTATCTAGGGATTATTGTAGTCGCAAAAAAATTTTTAAAATTGGATTAGTTTCTGAAAACCTTTCGAGCGGCGGCTGAGCTAGCGGCCAAAAACGAAAGAAATAAATTTGCCAAACTTCGTTTTTTGACGTTCAATTGGAAGTTTTAGGGGATTAATCATCTTGTTGGCGTTAGCATATTTACACTGTTCCACCTTCGGAAATTCTGCGCACCCATTGAACATATTCCACACATCATATATATTTCCTCCATATATTTGCACTTACAACTTGATAGAGAATGTTCAGCATTCTGGATACACGTACCTATCAACGTTGCCAGATGGTTAATGTCATTCACATCCGTTGGTTTGCCCGTCTGTAATTTTTGGTCCGTCTATAACTTGAGATGTAGTGGTTGGATTTCAATGAAATTTCACACAAGGTTGGTAGTATGCAAGGACGAAAAAGCTCTATAGTTTTTGAAAATCGGTCCAGTGGCGGCGCAGAAAAAAAGCCAAAAACAAAAAAATACAAACTTCTTTTGACGTTTTAGAGGTTTTTTATTGTTATACTCCAACTACCACGAATGCCTAAGGCCGAAACACCAATGGGGTACCATGGTGCTTTAGGAGCATCTAGAGGAAAGGGGGGGACGCACACGGACTCTAGTGAGGGAACACGTGTACATGCAACATGCAGATATTCTGACGGACAATCATAACATCCACAGCCAAGAGAAAAATTTCAGAGGGTCCTGATCATTTTCAGAAAATATTTTGTAGGGGTGAAATTTGGGGGTGGGGGGGAGTATATTATTTTTTTTGTTCTCAGTATATGTTATGTATATGCTTTCCCAATTCCGGTGTAGCCATATTTCACACATCATAGATTTTCCCGCACATTTGCCTTTAAAAGAAAAAGAATCATAGAGAAATGTGTTAGATCCACATACTCCTGCTATTTAAGCTCACCGCCCGTGTCCGGAAGGCTAATCTGTCCGTACTGCAGCGATGCCGCGCTTGGTACTGCCGCTCAAATGTTTAAAGGGAAAACGTTGCCAGATGCTTGACGCCATTTTCCTCGGTATTTGTGACTGCTATACGATTTTCATGAGAGAAGGCTTAAATTCATGCTTAGACAGTTAATGACATATAGTATATACGTATAGTAATAAAAATGAAATAATTTGAAAGTCGTATTATAAAAATCTTATAAACGGCAATTTGTTCATGCCAAAATTGAATAAAAAATTTGGTCCGACGACATTCAATATCAATGGAAGGTACCAGTATTATCCGCCAATAAAAAACTGTGATTGAGAAAATTTTGTGTCCCACAAATTTAATTATAAAATGTTGTGCATGGTTCGTATTAAGAACGAAATGAATGATTGGTTACTGTGGTACTATTTTAATATCAAGTCGATGTGATTTCGAATTTTGCTCTATTTTGCGATAAGAAAATAAAAACAGTCATCCAATGCGAATATGTTCGTTTAGTATCATAAAATGATATCTTGTTATTTATCACCATGCTGCTTCACAGATTATTCACCAAACATTCGACGTCCAACAAAGCTGCCAATGTGTATCATTTTCAAACTTCGTGTCCGAGATACATAGTTTAAAATCATTGTTCTAATTTTTTCCCAAACTTCAAATAATCCGCTATCCTGGACATTGCAAACTGAACCTGTATTCTTGGATCAAACAAGTTGTGAAACTGTTGAGTGGAAAGAGTAACATCCAACACCAAACTCCCGTCTTGGTGGAACTTTCTTTTCTTGAGAACCTTGAAAATGACATATCGATTTCAGAAGACACCACCAAACGACTTCCCAAAACTAACATTACTTTTGCGGTAATTCTTGTTCAGTTCTATTGAAATTTTGTTATTATATTCCTGACCGTTAGAACCATTTTTTAGAATAAAAAGTCCTGGTTGTCGTTCAACGTAAATTCATTTCATTTCATCCGAGCAACGTTTCGGCCATCTAGGCCATCCTCAGCAGGTACATAAAATATTCGGGTAAAAATTAAAAGAGTTATAAAAAGTATTTCTTATAAAACTTTACAGAACAATTACACATAATACACGCACGTATGCGCATACACGCGGCCAAGATGGCAGAAACATTGTACGAATGGAATAAAATGTGTTAACGTTGACCGAAACCCAACAATTTTTATTCTAAAAACTACGTAAGAATCTAAAAACAGTTAAATGACTGTGGCCATCATTCAGACTACAGGTGCAACAAAACTAAAGAAACGACTTATCTGACCTTGGCTTTGACATTGAGTCTCGTCTTCAAGGTTATTTTCAAGGTCCCTTTTGCTATTTGATACCGGCAGTAGAGATAACGAAGAATTCTACATCCGAATCGGTATTAAAATATAAAATCAAGGTCACTACTGAATGTTAAATGAGTGAGGCTAGAAAAAATTCCTTGAAGTTTAGCAGAATTATTGATCAATAAATTAATTATCAAGTATAGATCTCCAGTAGTTCTGAACGGGGATTTCTATGATGACCTTGGATTGAACATTGACCCTCACTTTCAAATTTATTCCGAGGTCAACTTTTCACGTTATAATACTTTGTCATATACTTTTATAGCTTTGAAGGTCAGACCTGAGGCCAAATCCAAGGTCAATATTGAAACTCTAGTTAAGGTTACTAAAGGTCTGACCATGAATTGTTTTCAATAATCCTTCAAGACGTTTAAGAATTTAGCCTAGCCTACGCCTTCATTTGACTTTTAGGGTTGATCTGGATTTTAGAGTTTTGAAGCACAGTTGGTCGTTCTTACGACTGTTTGTGTCAAAAAGGGAACTTTTCACCCAAAAAACAAAAAATGACCCTGAAATTATCTTTAAATGAGACTCAAATCCACGGCCACCAAGTTTTTGTTCAAAGTTGGTAAACATTTGACCCAAGCAGCGGATCCAGGTGGGATGATGGAGATCATGACCACGCCCTAAGGGCGAATCTAGTTTTATCACTAATATTTATGTCTTTCGATTCTCTTGATAAATTTAATAATATACAGACCTCTTGCAAATATGTAATGGATACAAACGGGTAAAAAATCACCACTCCTAGCAACCTTGATTAATTTGTAAGCTTGATGCAAATATAAATAGAATAGTGATACTGAGTTTTTCGGCTTGGTAGTACTGCTTGCTAGTTATTACATTATTGGAAATTGAGCTTCATGTGTTCTGTGACTTTTTTTAAATAATTTATCACATATCGTAGCTGGAGTCTTAACATCGCGTAACTCAAAAAATGGTGCCATCAAGAAATGCGTGTCATTCGCTAGGGAACCCGCCATTTTTGTACTATTTTGAAAATTCGTCAGTTTTGAGTTACGTTGTACTAGAACTTCGAGCGACGACATAATCAAGCTATTAACTGATTTAATTCACCAAAGAGGGACTAGCCATCTTGCTAATTTCTATCACTGGAGATCGCCTAACCGGATTGACGCTTTTATATGTCGATACGCAAGAAATAATCATAAATCGAAAGACAAAAAAGAAGAAGAATATTATTTTACAAGAAAAACTTTCCTTTTAACATTCCGTTACTTTAGCTATACCCGGTAGTATTGAATTGAATGAAGCAGAAACGCACATTCTGAATTAACAAAGACTTAGCCAAGGAGCGACATGTGTTCAGGCTCTTAAGTAGTTTTCAAAACAGCCTTGGCCTATAACAAGAAGCTTTGCCGCCTTCAAAAAAAATATTTACAGGGACCTCGAGTTTTCAAGTTACCGTATCTACTTATTACTAATTGAGCTCATAGTGTTATCTAAATACTTGACATTGTACGTTGAATTATTATTCAAAGTTATCGACTTATTACAAATAAAAGCGAACCGGGAACAAGATATCTAGAACTGTTAATGACTACGTGCACGTTAATAGCGATATATATTTTAAAAAATAATAAATAGTTCATTACACAACTTCTAGATACTTTTCTGACTCGGTCGACTGTAACTTTAACTGCATTAAGCCAAAGAAGGTGGAGTATACTAACGGTACATCTGTTCTAATTTTTTTAATGAATGATTATTCCAAGTGTCTCTTACAAATTAGACAACCAATGTTAGAAAGTTTTGAAAAACCAATTTCCATTTCTTTATGGTTCATTTAGAAAACGCTGTGCAAAAATAAAAATCTACTCTCGCTGGCTTATCATTTTACTTGTATCGCCGTAGTGATGCCGAATTAAGCAGCTTTATGTGCTATGTTTTTAGTGCGTAACTATACTTTGTATAATATTTGTGTAAGTAGTAGTACCTGTCGTATGCATTATAAATAAACTATTTTTCTTATACTGAGCAACATGAAAGTATCAATTTTGAATATTTCCTTTACCGCTAGAAAAAAAAGCATTGGCTATTGCTTGCAATCAACCACACAAGGTTGGCAACGTACGATCGTACTGTTACCACATCACTCATATGAGAATATATTTCCTTCAGTCTATGAGACAAAAAGGAAGCTTGTAACTAAAAAACGTACATTCGACACACTGATTTTATTTAAAAATACCAAAATTCATACACTAAACCTCAGCACCTATTATCCTTTTTTGACCAGTGCACACAGTACGATTTTGTTAAATTTGTCACATGAAAGTAAGTACCATACCACAACAGGTAGCGGTATCTGAAAGACTTACTTAAAAATTCGCATTATTGAGAAGTTGAGGAATTACCATTGATGTTTGAACTGTGATCCATGCTGTCGCCACATTGTCGAGGTACTACTTGTGGTCTGAGCATCAGCTGGTACCATAGAAGCTAGAATTATAAAAATTAATAAAATAACGACCTACGAATACAGCCGGACTATACATGTGGCTTGAGTGGTAGAAGGTGCCAAAAGCTTTAGTCTTGGACTTGAAAATTTAAGAAAGATACAACCAACTCTTCCGGTTAGTATTAAATGTTTCACCAATTTGCTAGAAGCGTGAGTAATTCCTTGCCTCGGCGCATCTTTGTAGTACTACTGTTATGTCGGCGGCTTGTGGTGGCAGATAAAAAACGTCGTTTGATTTGGAAGATGTCTAAAATCAAATTCATTGGTACCAATTTTTGATCACCGAAGTAAAATCTATTGCATGCTGTTGGTCCACCATCACCGTACTGCTTACGGTGTCGGCTGCAAGTAGTCGAAGATCAAAAGCTCCTCGAAGATCGAAAGCTCCTTTAAGTGGTACAAATAAATTTATGACAAGTGATCCCGGAATAGGATACTACTTCCACTCTCTGCGGTAGATGAAAGTACATAAGCATCAATTTCATTTGGAAAAATATATAAGACCAAACGAAATATATCGTCAGTCTTTGACCATTGTGCAGTAGTACATGCCGCAGGCGTACCACCGTAGCACTACTTGGAGCCTAAACCACCACCGAAAAAGCAGCTTTGACCTTGGATTTCAAAATTTAATAAACCGATGACCTACTACTCCGGCTATTGTCAATTTTTAACCAATACGTCTGGCGTAGCGGACTGTAGTTGCGCCATCGTGGTACTGCTTGTGGTTTGAACGATAGGTTTATTATTTGGATTTTAAAGATTAGCAACCAGTTGCTCCTATTATTATTAGCTTTCAACCTAAGCGCCCGGAGTGTGCTATCGGCGCACTATGGTCAGTACGACTTGTAACATCGGCGACAGGTAGTGGCAGATCAAAAAGCTTCAATTTTGATTTGAAAGATATCCAAGACCCAAATTTGCAAATCTATCGGGTTCCTTGATATCATTTTTTTTCGAAATACAACATGTCTGCGTACCACCGTGGTACTACCGGCAGTCTGAGTAGCAGATGGTACCGAAAAAGTTTAAGTTTGAAAACGTATTAAGCGGATTGAATACTGATCCGATTATTTAGCCATGAAGTATGACACCATGCTGTCAACGAAACATCGCGGTACTACTTGTGACTTGAGCGACAGGTTGTGCTAAATTGTTTAACTTTGAAAATTTGATAAACTGGCAACATACTGTTGCGGTGCTATGCTATGTGGCACAACGTTACTTTACTACTTGTGGTCTAATGTGGCAGATTGGCAGATAGTACCAAAGATAATTTTATGTTTGAACATTTGACAAACTCGCAACCTAGGTACCGGTTTTGTTATAAATTTCCGACGTATGCGGGATATGTCAACGTGCCGTTAGCGCACCACCAGGGTACTACTTGCGGTTTAAGCGACACGTGATACCGAAAAAATTGACTTTTTATTTGACGAATTTTAAAACTGGCAGCTTATCGATATAAATTAATTTTTGACCGATGCGCATGGAGTACGACTGATTACAAGCTGTCGGCGCACCATCGCGGTACTACTTGCGGGCAGGTGGTGGCGGATAAAAAGACGCCGCTTGCCGCACTACTGCTTTTCGCGATTGGTCGAACCAGATCGGACGTTGTCAGCAATAACTCTCTTTGAAGAGCGGAATTCACGCCTGTCAAGTCTTGAGTGATTTCGCTGACCCCATATCGGAGGAAGGCGAGCCAAGTGCATCCGACTGTGCGTCTGCCGCGTCCGCCAAAACAAAAGTGATTCATAGTGATAGACGGGAATCTCCGGAGTACTACATATCCAGGACATCTGCTTGCTAAAGGTATTTGTTACGCATGATTAGATGTTATGAACTTATAAAAAGATCACCAAGATTTTGTACCACTTGGACAAAACGCATTAATATCTCCATCATTTGTCAGGTACTTCCAAGTCACTTCAAAGTAATTTCAGATTACGTTAGACACTTCCTTAACCTTTGTGAACCTCCAGATTCTTTGGTCTCATGCATTAAATAATTTCAGGTCATTGAAATTTATCGCACTCATTTTCAAACACGAAATTTGTAATTTTTAAATAAAAATATTCCTTAACCACGGTAAAAATGACAAAGAAATCGAGAAATAATACAACAACGTGGCTTGTGGTTAGTTGGTTGTTTTTTAGATTTTCAAAAAATAGTGGTATCATACCCATTGATTATAACGTATTCTCCATAGTGAGAATACGTTAATCAATTAAAAGAATTATATATATCATATCGTTCTACAACTTTATCAAAATTGGTGATGTGTGCGGTGCAAAAACCTCGCATCTTATGTATAGACATAAACATGTTTGAGCTACGCGCGCGTAGCAAACCAAAGTATTGAATATAATTATTTTAAATAGACCAATCCGAAGAAACTCATTTTCTTGCAGAATGCCTAAACACTTGTAGTATTGAAAATGGTCTTTTTCAGGGACTTCTGACTTTAAATTGCTTATAACTCGAAAACGGCCGACTGAGAAACTGCTTGGAGTCAAGGGCGAGCCCAGCTCAAAAAGGGGCACCTTCAAAAAAATTTTGGTGGCAGATCCACATATCATATCTACATAACTATGCTTGATATTTTTCTTCCCTTCTTCCATTTCATTTATATTGTCTTACACGACGCTTTCATAATTCATATGGATATGGAAAAGTACTAAGATTACTTTTTTGGAAAATTCAAGCAAATATTGGGCGAGATGCTTTTATATAATAATTTAGCGCTTTGCAATAATTGAAAGCAACACTTGACATGATATATGACATAAATATGACCAAAAATAGTTTTTGTTGTAGAATGATTTGAAAAACAAATTTATCATATTTCTACCATTGTGATCTTCGAACGGTAAGAGATACGGATCGGTTGAACGTTTTAAAAAAAGTTGCTCATTTATATATTTTAGAAAAAGCATTTGGAAAGTTCTAACGCTTCCAGTATCTCCAGAGATAAAACGGAAAAAGGAAACGAATTTTCCCAAAAATAGTTTCTATCTTTTTCTGAATTTATTTGAGATAGTATTTCAAAATAAGCTGCATATTGACATTGCCACGTTTTGATTTCTGCAAGGTGGCAAAATTAGAACATTAATATGTTTTTTCCCTGGAAGAATAGCTTTTAATTCTGACTTCAAATATTACAGCATGTCATATATTATTTTAAAAGAATGTTTCATGAGCAAGCCTTGGAATTATCATATGGTAATTTATTTCATAGAATATCGAACTATACGAAACTTCAAGTGCCCCCTTTTTCTCCCTCCCCGGTTAAGCCCTTGCTTGGAGTGTAAAACATTTTTTACTTCATCTACTTCACGATGGGAAAAAGTATTTATGACTGAACCACAGATTACACAGACTCACAAAATAAAAAAAAGTGGTGCGTGCTCCAACTATATTTTTCTCATCTATTTTTTTCCCGTTAAATATGAATCTGAAGTCATAATTGGGGGTTGCTGGATAAATATGAAAGTAACTTCGGCATTAAGATCACAGGTTTTGGTACTTCTGTTGGATGTGTAATGTACCTCAGTGATCTTTGGAGATGTGCACATCTACTAAAATTCGTATTTTTGATGTCTAAATTAAGTAATATGAAAGTTCATATTTGTCCTTTGACTCCCAATTTTGACTTGCGTGCTTAGCTCGAAAAATTACATGGATAAAATATAGTGGGACCCCCAGTACACACCGCATTTAATTTAAACCTGTGATATGAATTTTATCGTTTGTATGCGTTTTTGCTAAAATTTGTCTGCCGACACTCAAATTCGTATTCAGCGAGTAAAAGTCCATGGGAAAAATAGGGCGGGACCTTCAGCACATACCACTTTTTTATTTTGTGAACCTGTTTTATTAAGTCAAAAGGTAAATCATGTAAAACTAGATTAACTGAAAACGGATACCGGAGAAAAATGATGGGGATTATGAAAAATAATATCTTCGTTCAACACTAAAAAAGAAACTGTATAAGTACATTATTTGCAAGCAATAGCATGTACATTTTGTAGAACCTTTTAAAATGTTTTCCATGTCAAGTCATAGTTTTTAGTTGATGATACAATACTAAACTTTTATAAATTGAAATTGAATCCTTCTGTTGTCACATTACCCATATCCCCAATCAAAGATTGGCGATCCATTTTGAGAAAACTGCACGAGAAGTCAATTCTCTGTGACAACGTTTCTGTTGTGTCCTTGTTGATCTTTTGAGGAGGTATTGCCTTTATTGACAGAGAATTTTGTAGCGTCCACCTTTCATTACATGACTGATGTACTGGAGTTTCGATTTCTTAGTAGTTGTCATTATCTTTTATTAATCTAAGCACCTCTTCTTGCACAGGAAAACCTAAACCTGAAAAGCATTGAAAGGATTATGGTTTTGTAACTTTTACCTAGATCGATCTGTAGCTTCTTTGTAATTTTTAAAGAAAGCATGTAATAACTAATGTAATTTGATTGTTACAAAGTATAGAAGAAAATGTCTTTTGAATGCAACTATTTTTTGATAAGTATGGGTAGGAATTTGTTAAGCAGTATAAATTCTAAATTCCATATATTTTTAAAAATACATGAATCCATACTTACCACAAACAATTTTCTTTAGTTCTTACATCTGACGTAAAAAGTTGATCAACTTGACTGTATAAATCATTTAATATCTGAAGTAATCATGCTGTAGAGCTACGCACCAGGTATACCCAGATTTCAGTACATAAAGTACCATCTATCAGATATTTCGTACATTAAATACGACTAAAGTTAGTTGAAACAATTACCTCTACTTAGTTGTTCGCGACATCTATTGTTAGCCGCTGTAAGCTGGCACAAATTAGAAGCCAGTCCTACGTTTGCATAGTAACACGAATGAATAATGTAAATATACTTCACTTAATTTACTACAGATGGCGCAACCCAACACTCAAATGTATAATTATGGTCCTTCGTTTTTCGTTCG